GTGTTCCTTTCTAAATTTCTGTCCCTTAATTTGATTAATTTCATTCATGTATTATGATTAAATCTGAGGCAGGTGAGCTTACAAGAATTGAAATAGTTACTAATTAATCACAAATGTGAAATTATGCATGATGTAAAAAATACAAACATTCTCATTAAAGGCTTTGCAACACATACCATGTCTGTTTTTATTTAGATTCCTATAGTGTCTCTAAAGAAAAAAAGACATATATTTGAAAAAATATGATTTGGTGCTCTTAATATCTCTCTTATATCCTCACTCAAATAGTTGGATATTGCTGGAGAAAAATCCACAAGCATGCTGACAGGTGTCACTTTAAATTCATAACCATAAATCTCAAATGAGCCCTCAAGTCTGCCTGGCCATTTTAGTTATTTCTCTGCAGTCCTTCCATTTTTGTGTCTCCAGTCTCCAAAATGACTGTTACTATTTTACTTTTCCTCTTCTCTCTTCAAAGCCCAAACACACACATTCAGCCCCCTCCTCTGCCCCCTCATCCTCCACCCTTCTCTGCTCTCAGCAGATAACCTGGCATCATATTACACTTATAAAACAAAAGCAACTTCATAAAAAATTTTCCCCTCCACATCACCAAAACAAAAGTCATACCTTCCCATAGCCCATCCTTCCTTCCTTCCCTCCTATTACCAGGATGAAGAGCCTCTCTTCCTGCCAACAGCACTGACTCCACATGTAGTTTCCCTCCCGTCCCTGTCACTACTCTGAGTTAGGCTGTTTCCTGGATCCCTCATTTGTTCCTCTTTGCTGGATCACCTCCACCATTCTACAGTCTGTCCTAGTAACCTCCCATCTTACAACAAATATTCCACTGACCCTACATAATCCTCCGACTGCAACCCCATTCTTTGCTCCCTTTACAGCAAGACTTCTGGGGAAGGATGTCTGTACTCACCAACTCCATGATCTGACCCCCCATTGTCTTTTCTCTCTAATCTGGCTTCCATCCTCACTCAGCTGAAACTGCTCCTCCAGGATTTCTCCCATGACTCCTCAGTGCTAATTCCAGTGATCATCATGTTCATCTCAGCAGCATTTGACAAAGTGAGTCACTTCATACTTTCAGCAATTTTTTCTCCCTTGGCTTTTCCTCATTTATGTCCTACCTCACTGACTGTTGTTTCTCTGTCCTTTTTGCTCGCTCCTTCTCTGCTATTTAATTTCTAAATGTGGGAGTGCCTCAGGGCTCAGCCTATAATGATTCTATATACTACATATTTTACTTGTTTGTCTCTTCTCATCAAAACATAACTTCCGAAATGACAGAGGTTTTCCCACTTTTTAAAAAGCATTGAAATAATCTCAATCTTTCTAAAAATTTAAAAGTATTGTACGAAGGTCTTCTATTTTTCTGAACTGTTTGAGAGTAAATTGCCAGCATGATACCTAATGGCCCTGACTATATCAGTGTGTAATTCCTACAAAGACATTCTTCTACATAACCTCGAAACAATTATCCAAATTAGTAAATTAACACTGATATGTTACTATCATCTAATCTTCAGATTCTACCCAATTTCATCAATTGTCCCAATAAGTCCTTTGTAACAAAAGCATCTAATTCAGAATAGTGTTGTATTTGGTTGTCATGTTTTTTAAGTCTCTTTCAATCTGAATTGTTTCCTCAGTTGTTTTTTTCTGGATTTTTATGACCTTGACACTTTTGAAGACCAAAGACCAGTTATATTATAGAATGGTCCTCAGGTTTTTCTAGTGTTCTCTTGATTCCATTAGGTTATGCATCTTTGGTGGGAATACCACAGAAGTGATGTTCTTCTCATTGCATCGTTTCAGGTGGCATGCAGTTTTGATTTGCCCCATTGTTGGTGATATTCACTTGAATCACTTGATTAAGGAGATGTCTGCAAGCCGTCTTCACTGTAAAGTATTCGAGGAGGAGGTGCCTTGAGACTAGTGCTCATCAAATTTTCAGTTTGTTTATTTATTTAGAAATAGGATCTCACTCTGTCACCCAGGCTAGAGTGCAGTGGTGTGATCTCAGCTGACTGCAACCTCTGCCTCCTGGGCTCAAGTGATCCTCCCGCCTCAGCCTCCTGAGTATTTGGGACTACAGACTCATGCCATCATGCTTGGCTAATTTTTGTATTTTTAGTAGAGATGGGATTTTGCCATGTTGCCCAGGCTGGTCTTGAACTTCTGACCTGAAGCAATCTGCCCACGTTGGTCTCCCAAGTGCTAGGATTACAGGCATGAGCCACCGTGCCTGGTCATGCATTTTTTTTTATCATATCAGTATGGACCCATGGCTTCTATTTTATTCAAATCATAATGAGTTATAATCCACTACTATTTTTTATTTTGATGTTCACAGCTGTCCTCGATTTGGCCAACGAGTCCCTGCAAGTTGGCTTCCGCGTCATTTCCACATATTTCCATCATTCTTCAAGCACTTTCTTGTTTTCTGGCATGAGATATTCTAAGGCTCACCTTGTTCCTTCCTTGCTTCCAGAAATGGAATAGGCATTTCTCCAAGGAGCCCTGATTCCTCAAAGTGCATAACAGTATTAAAAAACAAGACCTGGGCACTAGGGTATCACTGTTCCCAGGCCCTATCAGTGAACAGAACTGGAAAGATATACACATTTACACTATATTTGTCTCTATATCTATCTGTTTATATTGAAAATCATGAATTCACACCAATACCTCCAACTCTAACCTCACACCACAAGATTCACTCTGGTTTTCTTCTTTTCCGTGTTTTAACTCTCTTCTCTGACAGTAAGAAATTTAGCATTCATTATACTCAATATCCTTAAAATGTATCCTTAGTGCATTTATGAATTTGATGGGTTTGCCTGTATGTAACCAATTTCCCAACTCTGCCCAATATTGAGTGCCCTCCACTCAGGCTCTGACATCCCTCAGTGGGTTGTCCCCCACCTGGACACCCTCTTAACCATGTTACATCGCTGGCGTAATATGCTGAACCACTGTCCTCATAGGAAGAACAGAAATTTTTCACTCATTCCACTTCTGTATTCTAAACACCTAGAATAGTGACAGGAACATGGTACATGCTCAATAAATATCAGTTGATCAGATTAATCTCTTGCTGATTATTTAGTATGTTCCTTCCAAGCTAAACATTCTAAGTTTTGTTTTTTTTTTCCCCCTCTTCAAGGCCACACGATTCCAGTACAACGGCTTGCGGATTCCAAGCCACTTCTTGGCTGTGTAAATGCAGCACGTAGACCAGCCATGGGAGGGCAGCAGAGGGCCATTACATAGGTGCAACCTTAGGCTTCAAAATTCTTTGGACCACTCTGATATGAATAAACTCAGAAAGAATCTGAGTTTATGCATGTCGGGATACCCTGAGGTGTACAAAGGATGAGTCAAGGTAAGGGAGAGAGACTTGAAGAGTGACAGCTGAGAAGCAGAGATGTCCAAGGAGTGCCAGGATAACCCAACAACACAGGCTGATTGAGGAAACTGCCAGAGATTAGACCAAGTAGACTGAAGAGGGAAAGCAATGTTTGTTGGAGATTTTGTTTTAGTTTTTGATAAATATTTCTAAATCATAACAACTGTTTTTAATATAATTATGCCCCCTAACCAAATTTCTACTCTTGTTCTGGTAACAGAATAAAAATCAGTATCAACGTTTGATCCTTTTCAAAAGAAACTCAGTTCCTATGTTGGTTGAAATGCAGAGTGACATCCATATGACAACTGAGCTCTTCATGTGGCACTAATTATAACTAAGCCCTGAGCACATTTCTTGCACTTCTATTTAGTGAAGTCATTTAAAAAATATATTTTCTTCAAGTTGCTAAATGGAATTACTAAAAATTACAATCAGGAGTATTTTCTACTCTTTTAGCTTAATATTATTTTTTATATTTACCTCCATGCTTAAAAATATTAGACTTATATTGCTTCTTCTTGATTTTTCCATTTTAAGATACCGACTTTCCACTATGGAAGTTAAAGATTAAACGCTACTTCCTCCTCCTTCATCCCCATCACGGTACCCTTCTCCAAAGCCCATCCTTCCAAATGTAAATTCTATTTTTGGGGGGCGGGGGGAGTGATCAATACTCAGTATTTATGTAACCATAAATACAATTACTTTCTTTTTTTGCATAACATTTTGTTTTCCCTATAATTAATAGCTGCATAATTCTTACAGCTGCTTAGTTTTCTGTTTGCCTGTCATGAGTTACACTCCCAAACCCTAGGTCAAATCTCCTCTCGAGGCTTCAATGCCAGCTAGAATTTTATCAATTCCATCCCTCTGAAGCAGTGTCTCCCAAAGATTTCTGACCGACTCCAAACTGGTTGCGTTGCAGTCTATGTCTGTACACAGCTTTTGTCCCGGGGCTCTTTCAGCATCATCCTGGGATTTTATTATTTTGTGTTTCATAATTATATTTCCTGTATTTCATAATTTCCTCCTTCTTGATTATTCTCTCATTTTGGTGGATCAGATCTAGAGGATCTTCCTGGAGGTACTGGGAAAAGTAAGACAGGTACTATTTTGTGTGTGTAGTGATTTAACACGTCTGAAACTATTCTAGTCACACACTCGATTGGTAGTTGTACGAATACTGAAGACTAAACTGGAAGTAACTTTCCCTCAGAGTTTTGAAGACAGTACCGTATGGCTTCCTAGATTCTAATGATTCTATCGAGCAATCTGCAGCCACTCTGGATTCCAGCCTTTATAACTCGGAAGGGTGTGGATCTCTTTATCCTCGACGTGCGGAAAATTCACAATGATATGTCTTGAGGTGGATGATTTAATATTTGTGCTGGGTGCTTGGTAGGATCTTCCAGGGTGAATTCATATCCTTAACATCTGGACAACTTTCTTATGTCATTTATTGATTATTTCCTTCCTTCCAATTTTTCTGGTTTGAAACTTCTGGGCTGGTTTTGTGATGTGACTGCAGCAACCACGCGCGTGCGCAGTGTGCACTGCGTGTGCACACGCGAGCCCGTTGCGCCTGCGCACGGCGCTGCCGTCGCCCCTCCTTCCGTTGCGCTCTCCACCTGCGCGGAGTTGAAAGGCCTTCAGGAAAGCCGTCAGCCAGGGCAGTTGACGGTTACTCAGCGCCACGAGCCCTACTAACTCCTCCTCGCTCGGCGAGAAACTCTCCGCCTGGGCCCGCGTGAGAGGAGCGCAGCCTCTGAGGGGAGCGGCGACCCCGCCAGCCCCGGTCTCTTTCCCAGGCGGCGGCGGCGGCTTCTTCCGTGGGACAATATGTTCAAGAGAATGGCCGAATTTGGGCCTGACTCCGGCGGGAGAGTAAAGGTCAGTGTCCGACCCGCGCCCCTTCCGGGGTGGTTCTTCCGCCCCGTTCCTCCCTGCGCGGCGCGGGGAGGGCCCTCTGGGTTTTTTTCGCGCCTTCTCTCCTGCGATTTGAACCATGGTTTCAAGGCGGAGAACGAGTCAAAGCCGGCGTTCATTGGGCCCCAACTTCCTCGCGTCATTGCCAACTCCCATCCCCGCCAAAACACAAACAGATCCGTGGTGGCTTGGGGAAACCTAGGCATGGCTGCTGAGGAAACCGGCCACTCCGAGGGCTGGGAAAGCTCGGCTTGGTGCACATTCGCTACAAACCTAGGTTATTGGTAAAGCGGTGACAACACACACCTGGTGTAAAGATAACAGTATCTGTAGCAGGCAGGGCGCGGTGGCTCACGCCTGTAATCCCAGCATTTTGGGAGGCCGAGGCGGGCTGATCACGTGGTCAGGAGTTCAAGACCAGCCTGGCCAATATGGTGACACCCCCATCTCTACTAAAAATACAAAAATTAGCCAGGCTTGGTGACGCGCGTTTGTGTTCCCAGCTACTCGGAAGACTGAGGCAGAAGAATCGCTTGAACCTGGGAGTCGGAGGTTGCAGTGAGCTGATATAGGGCCACTGCACTCCGGCCTGGGCGACAGAGGGAGACTCTGTCTCCAATCAATCAATCAATCAATCGACTCTGTCTCAACTAACTAACTGTAGCAAATAGTCGCTGAGCGCTTACCTGCAGTATTTCCAAGCGATAACTGAGGCACCAAGGTGGAGGAAAGCTAAGAAAATTTGCCGGAATTCACATTGCTCACAAAGCCCCAAAGCAAGAGCCTAACAGTGTGCGTGGCACATAGGGAACATTCAGTAAATGTCAACTTCTGTTTTTGATGAAATTTTCATAGAGCCTATCGTAATGTTTTGACATTGTGACATTTATTTTTCTCGCACTTTCCCACATCCTCTGGCATGTTAATTTTTAAGGCAGGACCCACTGGCTCCTGATAAAACAACTATTGTACCCTCGATTTTTATTTATAGAGGAAAGGATATTTTCTTTAAAAAGAATCACCCACTTTTTTCTGTTCTTTTTTTTTATTCCCTTCTAACATGCTGCTGGAAGAATCACCCACTTTTGTACCAAAATAGTTAATCTGTAGGTTTTTAAAATCCTTATCTGTGCCATATTTTTACATAATTATTATTACATTTGACTGCAGGCAGGGTCTCCGTTACCCAGGCTGGAGTCCTTTGCCTGGTCATACTTCACTGCAGCCACAAACTCCTGGGCTCAAGCGATCCTCTCGCCTCAACCTCCCGAGTAGCTAGGGCTTCAGACGGGAGGCACACTGCCAGCGAGAAATTGGGGATTTATTTCTCTTTGCTGATTGTTAATTCGTTCTTTCAGCCATCTTTTTCCAATTTAGCTTAGTTTCATCTAGGTAGAAATCTTGACAAGTGATTTTCCTTTTCATCGTTGATGACCTCTGCAAGTTCGTAGCAGCACCTTAGCAGCTATGGGATCTATTATACCCTCCCAGTGTCAGCGCCCTTGTACTCATTCGATCAAGCCTTCAAGTTGAAGCCCAATCTGTGGTTCCCACAAAAGTGTCATCAGTAGCACTGTGATTTTAAGTTCTCATGCAAACTGCTTGCCTTCTTCCGAACTAACTTTAGGTTTATAGGTGTTGGATGTTGGAGTAGTTAATCAGCCACGAAGTTTCTCCATTTTCGTTCACTGGTTTTCTTCATTTCTTTTTCTTTTTCTCTTTTTTTTTTTGAGACAGAGTCTCTGTCTTCCAAGCTGGAATGCAGTGGTGCGATCTCGGCCTACTGCAACCTGTACTTCCCAGGTTCAAGCGATTCTTCTGCCTCAGCCCACCAAATAGCTGAGACTACAGGTGTGTACCACCATGCCCAGCTAATGTCTTGGTATTTTTTAGTAGAGGCGGAGTTTCGTCATGTTGGCCAGGCGGGTCTCGAATGCCTGACCTCAGGTGATCCACCCGCCTCAGCCTCCCGAAGTGCTGGGATTACAGGCATGAGCCACTGCCCCTGGCTGCTTTTCTCCATTTCTTCTTGTTAATTACATTTGCCCAGCACTTTTCACATGTGATAAATCTTGCTCTTTGTCCTTCAGATACATTTCTGCAGTTGAGCCATTGGTTTCAGATTCATGTGCAACATTCAGTATTTTCACTTCAGTTGAAACTTTTTTTCTTTTCCATCATAATCTGTCAATACTCACTGCCTTTGCACTTACCAGATATAAGAAATATGCATGTTAAACTAAGAACAAATGTAGCAAACATGTCATCAGCCAGTGTTTACCAAGCTTCAGTCATCCAAGTGCCACTTGGCCATTTTTGCTATGTCTGAATCCAACTGTAATATTTATTTTAACATTTACATTTAAATCAATTTAATTTTTTTTTTTTTTTTTTTTGACTTTGAGATGGAGTTTTGTTTTTGTTACCCAGGCTGGAGTGCAATGGCGCGATCTCGGCTCACTGCAACCTCCGCCTCCTGGGTTCAGGCAATTCTCCTGCCTCAGCCTCCTGAGTAGCTGGGATTACAGGCACACACCACCATGCCCAGCTAATTTTTTGTATTTTTAGTAGAGACGGGGTTTCACCATGTTGACCAGGATGGTCTCGATCTCTTGACCTCGTGATCTACCCGCCTCGGCCTCCCAAAGTGCTGGGATTATAGGCGTGAGCCACCGCGCCCGGCCAAAATCAATTTAATTTTTAAAAGCCTCTAAGTGTTCATGTTTTTGAAATTATAGGGTTGTTGTAATTGTTGAGACGGTCTCACTTTGTTGCCCAAGGCTGGAGTGCAGTGGCATGATCTTGGCTCACTGCAGTCTCTGCCTCCCAGGTTCAAGCAATTCCTGCCTCACCCTCCCAAGGAGCTGGGATTACAGATGCCTGCCACCACACCTGGCTATTTTTGTATTTTTAGAAAAGATGGGGTTTTGCCATGTTGGCTAGGCTGGTCTCAAACCCCTGACCTCAGGTGATCCACCTGCCTCAGTGAAATTGTAGGTTTTAATTTCTAGTTACAGTTTTCTTTTTTTAAATACTGATTAAACACATAAGTAAAAAAGTGAAAAATGTTTGACCTTTATTCCACCTCTCACAAATTGCTGTTAATATTTATGCTATACTTTGAGAAACACTGCCACAGGCTGGGTGATAAAGGCATTACCACAGGTGATGCCAGTCAGAATTGGCAAATTTTATTTTAATGCCTAGCTTTCGGTGTTTAAGTAAAAGGCCTTTTGCATTTCTTTTAACAAAACTCTCAAAGTGCTTTACTTGGTAACTTAAATAAAAACATTTTCACAGAGGGAACATTGTAATTCTGTTGTTTTTTTTGTATTAATATGAAATGAGGATAAGTGTCTGATTTGAGAGAAATCCTGTGAGCAAACTATAGATTGTTATTCTTTAAAACAGGTTTTCAGAGCTCTTATTCTGCTTATTTAGGTAATGGTACAATATTCATTGATTTTAAAATTATTTTTCTTTTAGGGGGTTACTATTGTTAAACCAATAGTTTATGGTAATGTTGCTCGGTATTTTGGAAAGAAAAGAGAAGAAGATGGGCACACTCATCAGTGGACAGTATATGTAAAACCATATAGAAATGAGGTAGGCACTCGTTTTTTTCTGTAACCGTTTTGCTTAAAGTTGTCCGTAATTTGTTTTGCCCAAAGATAACCTGTAATTTTTAATAGTAACTTTCTGATTATAAAATTGGCCCATTGTAGGAATGTTGTCAAAAAGTTTTTGAAAAAAATAGAGAACTGTCATCTTCATAAAATAGTAGAAACCAATTTTCCAAAAGTGTTTTTTAATTAAAATTAAGGTAACAAGAACTATTATGGTATAAATACAGTACAAGTACACCTTCCTAACATCATATCTCAAATTAATATAGTATTTAATCAGGAGTTTCAGGAATAAGCAGCTAATCCTTAAAGTGATAATGTGGTAGTAAGACCATCAAAGAATGTGAAAGATAGCACTGCTGTGTCATCTGATTGCTGGTAATTTTGTTTCATTGCTGAATCTTCTTTAACAGATATTTATTGAGTGAGTAAATTATTCCTCTATTTAAAACCCTTCAAAGTCCACCCAAAAACTTGCATATGAACGTTGATACCAGCATTATTCATAATAGCCAAAAGGAGGAAACAACCCACGTGTCTATCAGCTGATGAATGGATAAATAAAATGTAGTATTTCCATACAATTGAATATTATCAGGCAATAAAAAGTAAAGTACTGATACATGCTACTATGTGATGGAACTTGAAAGTGTTATGCTAAGTAAAAGAAGGAGATATTAAAAAGGCGACATATTATATACTTTTATTTATATGAAATGTCCAGAAGGGGCAAATCCATAGACAAAGAAAATAGATAAGTGGTTGCCAGTAGGTGGCAAGGAACGGTATTCGAGTAAGTGCTAATGGATATGGCTTTCTTTTATGTGATAAAAATATTCTACAATTGTAGTTATGAGACTCTGTAAATATAAAAACCATTGGCTAGGCGAAGTGGCTCATTCCTGTAATCCCAGCACTTTGGGAGGCCCAAGTGGGAGGATTACTTGAGCCCAGGAGAGTGAGACCAGACAGGCAACATAGTAAGACTCCATTGCTAAAGAAAGAATAAAAGAAGATATCATTACAGTAAGATTCCAGTTTATTTTTTAAATAATAAAGTTAGATATCAATGTAGATAAAAGCACATTTAGAAATTTCTAAAAGTAAATTAAAAAGTTAATAAGCATTACTATTGAACATGAGTTATTGTTTTGCATTTTTTATTCTTCTATAATGAGTTATATTTTTAAAAGCCACTTTTGCCAACAGAAGCCCTTTTATGTGCCATAAGTAATGAAAATTCTCTGTACTTCAAAATAAAATCAAGAAAAAGAAGAGTTTTTGTATTCAATGGTCTTATATTGCTTTAAATTTGTTGTCCTTAGCTTTATGTAATATAATTTTTTTTTTTTTTTGAGACGGACTTTCTCTCTTGCTGCCCAGGCTGGAGTGCAGTAGCCTGATCTCGGCTTACTGCAACTTCTGCCTCCTAGGTTCAAGCGATTCTCCTGCCTCAACCTCCCAAGTAGCTGGGATTACAGGTGCCCACCACCCTGCCCGGCTAATTTTTTGTATTTTTAGTAGAGATGGGGTTTCACCATGTTGGCCAGGCTGGTCTCAAACTCCTGACCTCATCCTCCTTGGCCTCCCAAACTGCTGGAATTACAAGCATGAGCCACCATGCCTGGCCTATGTAATGTAATTTTATTCTTTGAAATTGACTATAGATTTGCCTTGGTTTATACGATTATTTCTGTAACAGTCCCAGATATGTACTGTTGTTTTAATGGAAAAAAATCAAAATTGATTTAGAGTATTATCTGTAGAGGTATATAAAAACAAGGTTTGCAAAAAAAAAAAAAAAGTGAATCAGGGACATGTATTTTTATATATTACACATTATGAAAGAATTCAACACAGTCTTCCTTTGTTTTTGTTTTTCAAAAAAAGCAAAATAACTTCTCAGGTATAATTCATGTTTTTTAGAAAATTAGGTTCTATAAAATTTGAGGGGAAGTATGTTTTTTTAAAATTAGGTACGTATGTTTAGTGTATTTTTTTTCCTAGTTTTCATATGTAGGTCATAAAACTAATTAATTCCTTATATTTTAGGATATGTCAGCATATGTGAAGAAAATCCAGTTTAAATTACATGAAAGCTATGGCAATCCTTTAAGAGGTACAATATAGTCTTTTGATACACAATATCCAAAGTTAAAAACAGCTAGGAAACTAAACTGATAATTTACATTGTTTTCTCTCTTTAGTTGTTACTAAGCCTCCATATGAAATTACTGAAACAGGATGGGGTGAATTTGAAATAATCATCAAAATATTTTTCATTGATCCCAATGAAAGACCCGTAAGTAGCATTAATCTTTGTAAATATAAAATAGATTTCTTAGTAAATGTGAAAATGTAGTAATACTTATTGAATAGTGTTCATTCACATGTGTTTTATGTAAATTATGGCACAGTGTATCTTGACATGAGTTAAGCTTTTCATTTTTAAGTGAAGTACTTTTCAAAATCCTTTTTTTTTTTTCCCCAAGTATGGGAAGAAATAATCTGAACATATATTGGAAAGAAACCAGGGAAATCAGATAATCACTGCAGCAAAAAAAAAAAATTAAAACTGTTACTTTCATTTGGTTGTTAGTAATAAACAAATTGAGCCCATATGCTGTGTAAAATGGTTTTTATAGTTTTTGCTAAACACCAAGAAATAGTTTTTTGCTTTTTTAAGCTGTCATCGGTACTAGTGCTTTATATTATATCTTATTTATGAGTCTTTATTTTTTATAACCACTGGCTTTTTCATCTTTTGATCTCTTCTTATCAGATTGTTGCTTGATAATGAAAAAGTCCCTCCAGACTTTTCAGGCTTTTGCTTTCATCCTTAGCAACTTTGTTAGGTTGTAATATCCTCATTTTAGAGATCAGGATACCAAGGCTTAGAGGTCAAATCACTGCTCAGAAACATTCAGTTAATTATGGTAGAGCTAGTTTTTGAACCCAGATATTTGCATTCATACCTTTTTCTAGTATTTTTTTCTTTTGGGTAAAACCACTAAGCCTTTTTTTTTTTTTTTTTTAAACTATAGGGTCGAAACTTGGTAATGGCTCTCACATTCCACATATATGGCTGGGGTTTAACTCCAATTTCAAGGCTTTAACATTCAACACCATTAATTTTATCTCGTTAGAATCACATCATTCTTTTATCACCAAACATTTACATTTTAATGATCAGATTATGTTTTTTAAACTGTAGGTATTTTTATTAAAGGAGCTAAATATCACCTGGGCCAGCATTTCAGCAAACTAATTCCTAACTGGCTGCATCAGAAACACCTGAGGTGCTTGCTTATTTATTTATTTTTGGTGAGGTGCTTTTTAAAAATTCAAACTCCCAGGCCTCACCTTTTGGAGAGTCTGATTCAGTGGGTTTGGAATGGGGCCAGTACCCGAGGTTATTTTGATGCACAGTGAGATTTGGGACCCATTGACTTAGGCTGACTCTTCTCTTCCTATGTAGGAATTTATTTAAGGCAATCTCTCAAATGAGTATCTCATTTGGGCTTGCATATCTCCAATATGGAGAATTATGCCACTAAGTAAAACACCCCTATTCAAGATTGGGGTAATTTTAGTTTTAAGAAAGGTGTACTTCATGTTACGCTTCCTGAACTTTTTACTGATTACTATTCATACATTAGTTTTCTTTTCTCATGAGTAAACATCCATAGCCCCTTTAAAAGTTGTTCATGTTTTCATGTGATGAAGTTTTTAGATTTCCTACCATCCATGTTGCCCTTCAGGAAAACACACTAATGTTATATTTTGTTTGGCAATGTTTTTTTCTTTTGAGACAGAGTTACACACTGTTGCCCAGGCTGGTGTGCAATAGCATAAACATGACACACTGCAGCGCCCATCTCCTGGGCTCAAACAATCCTTCTGCCTCAGACTCCTTAGTAGATGGGATCACAGGTGCCTGCCACCACGCTCAGCTAATTTTTTATTTTCTGTAGAGATGGGGGCTTGCCATGTTGCTCAGGCTGATCTCAAATTTCTGGACACAAGCAGTCCTGTCACCTTGCCATCCCAACATGCTAGGTAGGATTACAACGTGAGCCACCATGAACGGCCAAGAAATTATTAAATATAATGTCTGCTATTTGCAAGATACTGTTTAAGGGATTGAGAAGGATACTAAGATGAGACACTGACCTTAATGAGAATAGTTTATTAGGGAAAATAAACTATAGAATTTAGCAGATGTTGACAGGGAGAGAGAAGCAGCCCATGATGGTACTAGAGCAGAAGCTCTTTTTAACTTTGTAAGATTGCTCCGTTTTCATTTTTGAGAATATGCTGCCTTACCTCCCTGTCTCCTCATCTGTTATCCCCATCCCCAGTTGGAAAATAAATCTATGAAAGAAATCAATATATCCTATAACCTCATTATGAGACAGCTCTCGAAGTCAATCTTAGAAGGTAAAATAATATAACCTACGGCACTGCTGTAGTGATTAATGTATTGAATAGGTTCCCATATAGATCTACATAGGCCTGAATTTTATTTCTTAAGAAGTATTATAGTGTTTTTTAGTATAATTAGACAATTGTATTTTTTGAATAGTTGGCTCTTATAGAAAATGTCAAATGAAGGTTTATTTAAAATATATAAGAAAGACAACTTGGTTGGAAGGTAAATTGTGATTTACTTCTGTTACGCAGTAACATATTATACAGATCAAGCCACTATAAAAAGAATTGTTGTTTCTAAAAGCAAAATGCCAAATTGAGTTTTCATTCCTAGAAATAGGGATTTCTAGGCAAGTATAGGCAGTTTCATTGTTCTAAGAATTTTCAAATACCACTCAAAATCAAGGACATCTGTCTTGAAATGTTTTTATTGCCTATATCGGCATGAATGCCTCTGAAAGTCCAAATAATAAATTTAGGGAAGGACAGTTTTATGATGTAATTGTAAGAACTTTTAATTATAAAAGTCAAGTGTGCACCTGGTTTTGAAAGAAGATTTTTGAAATAAGTGCAATTCTTCTGTATTAGTTTTCTCGTACCACAAACTGGGTGGATTAAAACAACAGAAATTTATTCCCACATATCTGAAGGCTAGAAGTCTGAAATCAAGGTGTTGCCCTTTAGGGGAGCATCTTTCCTTGCCTCTTCCAGCCCCAGATGTTCCTTGGCTATTGGCAATATAATTCTGATATCTTCCTTCATTGTCACATGGCCTTATCTTTCTCCCTGGTCTCTGTGTCTTCTTCTTTTATAAGGCCACCATTCATATTGGATTATACTCCACCCTAAATGACTTTATCTTAATTATACCTGCAAAGACCCTGTTTCCAAATAATGTCACATCCACAGGAACTAAGAATTAGGACTTCATATCTTTTGTGTGCATTTGTAGTCCCAGTTATTTGGGAGGCTGAAGCAGGAGAATCATTTGAGCTTGGGAGTTCAAGACCAGCCTGGGCAACATAATGAGACCCCCATCTCGAAACAAAACATAGCTTTTGCAGGGAGGTCACAATTCAGCCCATACCATCTTCTTTCTCCCATTTTTGACCCCTTGTCCAAGAAAACCACTTTTTAACAGTTACCTGTTTTGAGTTCGTCTAGAAATTACTCACTCCTATGCATCTCATATATTTAAATCCCTAATACTGGATTTCTCGACTTTAGATAGTATCTTTCAGGGCCTAATGATTACAGATCATTTTCTTCCTTTTTCTTCTTCTTTCCAAGTTTCTTTTTTTCATTTTGCTGAAGGAATTTCTTTAGAAAGGATACCTGAGAAACAAACTTTCAGAGCCATTGGCCATCTGAAATGTTCTTATTTTTTCTTCATACTTCATTGTTGGGGTGAAAAATACTAGGCACTAAAGGTAGATAGGCTTTCTTGTCTAGAGTGGAGGGAGAAGGGAAGGTCCAAAAGCCCAGCTACCTTATAGCATTCTTGACTTTGATACTTGCCAACTCTGAACCTGGAGCACTGTAGAGCTCCTGGGAGCTCTGGCTCCCACCTCTGAGGCAATTTTCTTAAGTTTTCTGGCTGTGGTTTTTCTCTGTTACTGTTTATTATCCTGCTTGGTAGTCTTATCTGCTTTCTGTCTGTTCTAGAAATTTGTCAAATTATTTGCTTTAAATAATTTGATACATAATTCATGCTCTCATTTTGTATATTGTCTGTCTTTACTGTTACTTTAGTAGAATTCTGTGTATTTCCTTCCTCGCTTTTCTGTATTCTTAGTGTATCGTCTTGGGCATAGAAGATGTCCTTTAAGTAGGATACTTCTGCTTGCTGAGCCATGTCCAGGGAAATCTGACATTCTGTTAATTGAGCTAGATTGTCTTTATGGGGAATGGATGGTGCTTGTTTAAATTCAGTTGCAAGGAATTTTATATTTTCTGACTTTTTCAGTGTACCCTTCCTTGCTCCCTATTTCGTGACTTTTTGAAGAACAGCATTCTCTCACAATGATTTTAGCTAACTTTTTGGAAAATTATTTGAGGTTTTCACAACTTCAACAAGAACTCTGATGTTTTCCCAACTAGATTTTGTTTTGCTAAAATAATCACACATTGTGCTTTGAAGCTTTTCCCTTGATGTCTTACTGTACCTGTTTTTAAGTATTTGAAGACATGTTGCTCTTCTCAAAGTGAATTGTCACTGACTTTTAATTTATTTATTATGTCATTTACGTAATAATCTTATAGATCCCCAAAGAAATTATCTTGCCCTCACTGAACTTTTTCATTCCTTTTAAAAGTATCAAATCTTTTATTCCCCACGGTAAATTTGTAAACTCTAATCTTCAAAAGCAGTTGTCACAATTAACCGACTTATGTAAGTAAAAGAATTCATGTTTCAGTGATTTATCAGTTTAATTTCCATAGTTTTATCTTGTGCTACTTTTATAGTTTCTTCCCTAGAGATTCTTGAACAGATTTTTAATTACACTTTTCAGAATATTCATGTTAAGTAGATACGAATGTATCTAATAGGAAAATAAAGGTACAGAAAGTTTGGGTGATTTGCTGTAATAAGTTGCAATTGAAACAAGATCATGAGTTTGACATGTATACATTTATTCCAGTCTCTAATTCAGTTAAAAGACAGTGTCTTGTGATGATAAAAACCATTGCACAGATGTGACATCTCTTTTTATTTCGCAGGTAACCCTTTATCATTTGCTAAAGCTGTTTCAGTCGGACACCAATGCAATGCTGGGGAAAAAGACAGTGGTTTCAGAGTTCTATGATGAAATGGTAAGAAGATTTTATAATGATAGTTTTAAAACTATTTGAAGTGGAGAACTTTGAAGTTACTGGGTTTTTGTTCATTCTGTCCCATTAGATATTTCAAGACCCAACAGCAATGATGCAACAATTATTGACAACATCACGTCAGCTAACATTAGGAGCCTACAAGCATGAAACGGAATGTAAGTGCCATATATTCATAATTCTGAAAAATATCGTATTCTGTAATGGTGAAAGGATTGTATGTGCATGTGTCTTTATAATAGAATGATTTATAATCATACAATTAGTACCTTTTAAACTTTAAAAACAATGATACAGGTAAGTTTTTTGGGTGTTAAAAACAAGATGTGTATTACAGTAGAACATGTAATAAGGATGTTTTAAATTGTTCCCAAGTACCCTACTTTCTTTTTTTTTCTTTTTAAATTAATTAGTTATACTTAAGGTTCTGGGGTACATGTGCAGAATGTGCAGTTTTGTTACATAGGTATACACATGCCCTGATGGTTTGCTCTATCTATCACCTTGTTATCTATGTTAGGTATTTCTCCTAATGCTAACCCTTCCCAGTCCTCCCACCTCCTGCTATCCTTCCCCTATCCCCTACCCCCTGACAGGCCCTGGTGTGTGATGTTCCCCCTCGCCCCCATATCCATGTGTTCTCATTGTTCAACTCTTACGAGTGAGACCATGTGGTGTTTGGTTTTCTGTTCTTGTATCAGTTTGCTAAGAATAATGGTTTCCAGCTTTATCCATTCCTTCCTGCAAAGGACATTAACTCATCCTTTTTTATGGCTGCATAGTATTCCATGGTGTATATGTGCCACATTTTCTTTATCCAGTCTATCTTTGATGGGCATTTGGGTTGGTTCCGAGTCTTTGCTATTATGAACAGTGTTGCAATAAGTACATGTGTAATGTGTCTTTATAATAGAATGATTTATAATCCTTTGGTTATATACCCAGTAATGAGATTGCTGGGTCAAATGGTATTTCTGGTTCTAGATCCTTGGTGAATTGCCACTCTGTCTTCCACAATGCTTAAACTAACTTACACTACCACCAACAGTGTAAAACTGTTCCACACGCTCTCCGGCATCTCTTGTTTCCTGACTTTTTAATGATCACCATTCTAGCTGGTGTGAGATGGTATCTCAGTGTGGTTTTGATTTGCATTTCTCTAATGACCAATGATGATGAGCTTCCTTTCGTATGTTTGTTGGCTGCATAAATGTCTTCTTTTGAAAAGTGTCTATTCATGTCCTTCGCCCACTTTTTGATGGGGTTGTTTTTTTTTTCTTGTAAATTTAAGTTCTTTGTAGATTCTGGATATTAGCCTTTTATCAGATGGGTAGATTGCAAAAATTTTTTCCCATTCTGTTGGTTGCCAGTTCATGCTAAGGATAGTTTCTTTTGCTGTGCAAAAGCTCTGGAGTTTAATTAGATCCCATTTGTCTATTTTGGCTTTTGCTACCATTGCTTTTGGTGTTTTAGTCATTAAGTCCTTGCCCATGCCTATGCCCTGAATGGTGTTGCCTAAGTTTTCTTCTAGGGTTTTTATGGTGTTTGGTCTTATGTTTAAATCTTTAATCCATCTTGAGTTAATTTTTGTATAAGGTGTAAGGAGGGGATCCAGTTTCAGCTTTCTGCATATGACTAGCCAGTTTTCCCAACACTATTTATTAAATAGGGAATCCTTTCCCCACTGCTTTTTTTTGTCAGGTTTATCAAAGATCAGATAGTTGTAGATGTATAGCTTTGTTTCTGAGGCCTCTGTTCTGTTTATTGGTCTATATCTCTGTTTTGGTACCAGTACCATGCTGTTTTGATTGCAGTAGCCTTATAGTATAGTTTAAAGTCAGGTAGCATGATACTTCCAGCTTTGTTTTTTCTTTTTTTATCTTAGGATTGTCTTGGCTATGTGGGCTCTTTTTTGGTTCCATATGGATTTTAAGGTGGTTTTCTCCAATTTTGTGAAGAAAGTCAATGGTAGCTTGATGGGGATAGCGTTGAATCTGTACATTACTTTGGGCAGTATGACCATTTTCACAACATTGATTCTTCCTAACCGTGAGTATGGAATGTTTCTTCCATTTGTTTGTGTCCTCTCTTATTTCCTCGAGCAGTAGTTTGTAGTTCTCCTTGAAGAGGTCCTTCACATCCCTTTTTAGTTGTATTCCTAGTTATTTTATTCTCTTTGTAGCAATTATGAATGGCAGTTCGTTCTTGATTTGGCTCTTTCTAAGTCTGTTATTGGTGTATAGGAATGCTTGTGATTTCTGCACATTGATTTTGTATCCTAAGACTGCTGAAGTTGCTTATCAGCTTAAGGAGATTTTGGGCTGAGACAATGTGGTCCTGTAAATATACAATTATGTCATCTGCAAATAGAGACAATTTCACTTTTTCTTTTCCTAATTGAATATGCTTTATTTCATTTCCTTGCCTGATTGCCCTGGCCAGAACTTCCAATACTATGTTGAAATGGAGTGGTGAGAGAGGGCATCCTTGTCTTATACCAGTTTTCAAAGGCAGTGCTTTCAGTTTTTGCCCATTCAGTATGCTATTAGTTTGTCATAAATAGCTGTTATTATTTTGAGATATGTTCCATTGATACCTAGTTTATTGAGAATTTTTAGCATAAAGGCCAAGTAGCCTACTGTCAAGAAGGGTGAAATACAGCCTGTCACATGCCCTGAAGTATTTTTGTCTATTTTAATTCCCTAATTACATTTAAGCATAGTTTTTCATTAGTCTTGCTTAGCCTGTCATTTTCTGTTTACTAGTCTTTGCTAACAAAGTCTGTATGAAGAACCTTGCAGGACATAATTATACTTTTGTGTACTGTGAACTAGTTTATCTTGTATTTTTGCCAATGTCATTTTACATAGTTTCAGAGAAATGCTCAAGTGTTGACTATCTGACTGCCACATTGATAATTGGTCATAATACAATTTCTCACCAAGCTAACATGGTCTCAGAATCCTGTACACATTGATCCATGCATCTATTCTCAGTTATTTCAATTGGCATTTAATATAAAATCTATTTGTCATCCCTACATTAACATTTATGTCACTGTTTAGTCATTTATTTGATCATTCATTTATTATAATATATAGTGGATACCAGTTGCATGCCAAGCATTGTTCTGGGTGCTAGGTGCTGAAGTTAGAGCAGAGTCCCAATCAGACAAAAAGCTCTATCCTCATGGGCCCTACATTCTAGTGGGAGGAAGATGGGTATTAAGTAAATAGAATAAGCAAGTATAAGGTAATGATTAGGTGCTATGATGAAAAACAGTGGAGCAGGGAGCATCTTTGGTGGGAGGAGATGGCTGGAGTTTTACATACTGATATCAAAAATATCAGTGAGGAAATGCTTTCTGAACATTTGGAGACCTAAAGGAGTAAGGGAATGATCTAAGAGAAGAATGTTATGTGTAGAAGGAGCAGTGAAGATAAAGGCCCTGAGGTAAGAACATGGCTGAGGAACAGCAAGAAGTCCAGTGTGACTAGAGTAGAGTGAACAAGAGGACAATGAGATGAGATCAGAGAGGTTAATAGGGAACTAGGTCATATAGGGACTTGTGGGTAAACTGTAAGGACTTTAAATTATTAAACTGAAATGTGAAGTCATTTGTTGACTTTTGAACAAAGGAATGACACTATTAGATTTAACTTCTTTCAAATGTTTAATTTTGTGGGTATGTAGTAGGTGTATATATTTATTGGGTACATGGGATATTTTGATACAGGCATACAATGTCTAAAAATTACATCCAGGAAATGAGATATTCATCACCTCAAGCGTTTACCCTTTTTGTTACAATCCAAATGTACCCGTTTGGTTATTTTAAAGGTACAGTTACATAATTATTGACTATAGTCACCCTGTTGCACTATCAAATACTTAAATCTTATTCATTCTTTCTATTTTTTGTACCCATAACCATCCCTCACCCACCCACCCACTATCTCTGGTAACCGTCATTTTATCTCTATCTCATGAGTTCATTTTTTGTTGTTGTTGCTGAGACAGAGTCTCACTCTGTTGGCCTGGCTAAAGTACAGTGGCACAATCTCAGCTCACTGCAACCTCCATCTCCCAGGCTCAAGCAATTCTCCTGCCTCAGCCTCCCATGTAGTTGGGATTACAGGCTTGTACCACCACACCTGGCTCATTTTTTTTGTATTTTTAGTAGAGACAGGGTTTCACCATGTTGGCCAAGCTGGTCTTGAACTCCTGACCTCAGGTAATCCACCTGCCTTGGCCTCCCAAAGTGCTGGGATTACAGGCATGAACCACCATGCCCAGATGAGTTGTTTTAATTTTTAGCTCCCACAAATAAGTGAGAATATATTATGTTTGTCTTTCTGTGCCTGGCTTACTTCACTTAACATAATGACCTTCAGTCCCATCCATGTTGTTGCTAATGACAGGGTTTCATTCTTTTTTTTATTGCCCAATTTTTGAATTCTTAATCTCTTCATTGACCTACTGGTCATTCGGAAGCATAATGTGTAAATTCCATGTGTTTGTATAGTTTCCAGAGTTCCTCTTGTGATTGATTTCTAATTTTATTCCATTATAGTCAGAGAAGATACTTCACAATACTTTTTTTTTTTTCTTTAATGTTTTAAGACTTGTTTTGTGGCCTAACATCATATGGTCTTTATCCTTGAGGATGATCCATGAGCTCAGGAGAAGAAAGTGTATTCTGCAGCCATTTGATTAAATGTTCTGTAAATATCTATTAAGTTCATTTGGCCTATTTTGCAGGTTAAGTCCAATGTTACTTTTTGTTAATTTTCTGTCTGATCTGTTCAGTGCTGAAAATTGGATGTTGAAGACTCCAGGTATTATTGTACTGGGGTCTATCTCTCTTAAGCTTTAACAATATTTACTTTATGTATCTGACTGCTTTACTGTTAGGTGCATATATGGTTTACAATTGTTATATCCTCTTGCTGAATTAACTCCTGTATCATTATATAATGACCCTGTCTCTTTTTATAGTTTTTGTTTTGAAGTCTGTTTTGTCTGATGTCAGTATTGCTACTCTTTTTTTGATTTTCAGTTGCAGGCAATATCTCTTTCCATCCCTTTATTTTCAGTCTATGTATGTCTTTATAGGTAAAGTGTGTTTCTTAAAGGCAGCACATCACTGTGTGTTGTT